TTATTTAATAAACTCACTTCCATGCGTGCGGGTATATAATTATCCTCACATGTAACTTATATTTATATACTGATTCCGATGTCGAGCTCCAAAGAATACAAGACACCAAAGTGTTGGCTTCATTGATCCTTATATCGTATTCAAAACCGTATTATTATCAAGGAGCGATGGGTATCTCGAAGCACGAGAGAATATCATGATGTTCTTCATGAAGCGAAGACGACAAGACAACAATACTTTTCCCGTATAACTTTGAGTAAGTGTTAATAATAATGTAGTCTACACATTTTATGTAATATCAATACAACTTATATGCATGTACGTGTGTGTATAAACCAATGCGCTTTTCATCGGATACTCATTGTCATTGAGTTAAACTCAAGTCGGTTACTAATCTTTGACTCGTTGAGAAAAGAACGGGCACTATACCAAGATATGATAGACATTATCCAGGGTAATTTCGATCTCTCGCGCACAACTATTATTGAATAGACTTTGCCATAATTTATTAACGATCGTACATTATTGGTCGCATACGAGGTTTGGAAAGAGTTTATTCGGCAACATCGCAAGGATTGCAAGGCACCACTTAATGTAGTTGAAATACCAAAGAAGTTGTACTATATACACTTCCCCACGTGTTTAATTACTATATCGTACTTCAATTTACGTGTGAGATGATGAGAATAATCTTCTTCTCATAATGCAGGTGGTGTTTATGGCGTAAACCGTAATAACTTGTGTGGATACTACGTTTGTGAATTTATCATCACATTATAAGAAGAACTCCTGAAGATGTCCTCGAGTACGTATATATCAATTTTATTTATTTTTAAATGAATATATATACATATATGTGTATTAATACTTTTCCCTTTATTTCAAATGCAAGACTGAATGGTTGAAACGAAGGGTCATGCAAAAGACCATCTCGAAAGCGCTTCAAGAGTCAATAGCAGACATCTTCTAGAAAAAGTGCTAAATCCCAACGGCGAGTTCTACTTTGATCTTAAGGAATAAATGATGTAAATTAAATGTTTATTGATATCGTTATTTTTTTAGAGAACAAGATTATGAAAGTGTTGTATATATACATATATATATATCTATAATATATATAGTTTCATACTTTATTCGAATATAATAATGCTCAAGATGAGAATTAGATGTAATTATATGCATGCGTGTATTTATATTAGCAACGAGAATACGTACATAAAAACATATTATATATTAAACAAATACGTAACTCGAACCGAAAACAAAGTAAACAAAAAAAAAAAAGAAAAGGAACCTTTAGTCCCGGTTGGGGTTACCAACCGGGACTAAAAATGAATTCATTAGTCCCGGTTGGTAACCCCAACCGGGACTAAAATAATGCGCCAAGATTCGCTGGTTGGAGGGCCTTTAGTCCCGGTTGGTGTTACCAACCGGACTAAAATCCCTTTAATCCAAGCTCGATGACCCGGGATGAAGGTTCCACCTTTAGTCTCGGGATCGTTGTCCCGCCGCTGTAACCGGGACTAAAGATCATATCCGTCCGGGACAACAAGTCCATTCTATAGTAGTGTCGTTTTATCTGGAGTAAAGTGAATGAAATTCAAAAAAAAACTGTGCTCGATACTATCGTTTGATTCCAGCTACCAGCAGGTTAATTTAACCACAAGTTTAGCTGAAACCGGCACGATGAGCGGGGAGAGGGAAAACCAGCTGCTGTTGCGCTTGCTCCTCCGCCAGCTTCACGATTCCGCCCTGGCGAGATTTTTTTTGTGGGGGGGGTGGGGGGGTCAAATGTTTTTTGTAAAATTCATGTACGTTTTTTTAAGTTTCTTTGTTCCAAATAAATGGGTCGGGATATAGGTTTGCAGCAAAGGAACTGGAGTGCCGGAGCACGTGGCATGCCAAGGGTGGCTGCATGCGGCGGAGCCGGAGCGGAACGGACCGTCCTTTTCGACGACGTGCGTGGTTGATCGGTTGGGCCATGGTGACCCGGACACACGGGATAACGCGACGCGACCGACCGTCGTCCGGGCCGTCGCCTACCTCGCCGACCAGTTTATTAGACGACGCGGCACCTGCACCTGGCACGCCGTGGAAACTTCGGGTCGCACGCCACGTACTGGGCCGGTGGAGTGTGTACGTGTGGTGCGACTGCATGCACGCAGCTGTACGTGCTTGTCACTGTGATTATTCGCCGTGTCACCGACGAGCCGTCGTGAAAGGTCGCAGTACCGAAACGGGCATTGTGCTTCCATAAAAGTCACTACAGATTAGGCTAATTCTTCTTCTCCAGCTAACGTTGTTTTCGTACGATACTGAACGTGCCGATGCATCCAATATTCGCGTAATAACCGTATGCGTACTATTCGCACGACAGCAGATTCATACTGTCGATGCAATTTGTCAACCAAGCAACCGCCCGGCGCGCGCGCGGCAGGCACGTACGCACGGTACAAACGTACAGGATCTGGATCTCACAGGATTCCCGTGGATACAGCGCTACGCTGGCTGATACGATTCTCGTATCACGACTATACTTGGCAGGCAGGCATACCGATACGTTGATTCAGCTGAAACGTGAGCTTAATTGAATCCAACGTAGGCCTGGTTTGGATACGCATATATTTATCTCAATCCACACGTGTTGAAGTGGATTTGAGCGAAATTAAACTAAATTTTATTTCATTTCACTCTGTCCAACACATGTGGATTGAGGTGAATACACGTACATCTAAACAAGCCTGTACAGACAGACGCCATATGATTGTAGATCCACACAGACACAGCTAGTAGCTAGCCTGCGCCAATAAAAGCAGCCGGTTTCATTAGTCGTTCACCGGCTCACCAATCGGTCGTGGATCCGAGCTGCATACATGCACGGCACACCCTAAACCCCAAAGAATATGCAGTGCTTGTGCTTATAGTAGTAATTAACAAATAAGTAATATCTAATAATGTAGTATAGTACTCCATAATCAACTGTCATTGCAGGCACGGCAGGTAATTGATAGATGTGCACGAGAGGTGTCCCAAATCTAAACGGCAAGCCGCTATACTCTATAGGCGAGCAAGTAAAATAGCAGTGCGCCAGTGCCCATGCGCTGTCCCCGCCGGCCTTGTCCCCCGCTGCGCCGGAGCAGTGGAAAAAATGCCCACGGCTAGCCGCCACGCAGCCCCCCCGGCCCGCGCCCTCGTCCTATCCTGCCACGCCAGCACGCCACGCCGCGGCGCATGAGGAGCCGTTGCGCGCCGCGCCGCGCCGATGCCCGTGGATGAGGCGATGGGTGCTGTGTCCCCACGCGTGCCGTGGCGGCGTGGCCCGGCCCTGCGCCCGACGCGTGTGGTCACCCTGGGCCCCGGCCGGCCCGCCCTGCTCACCGGGAAAAGGCGCGAAAAGATTTGTCGCCATACCGCGCCGGCGTATCGTATCCATCGGTGGTGCTGGCATTGGCGAGGAACAACAGAGTCAGTTGGCAGAGAAATTATTAATACAATATACAGTGCACAAGTGATCAATACAAGCCGAAAGGATTGGCCAAAAGGGAGGGGGAACGGCGACAGATCCGGTAATTAGCGAAACGACGCGATTATAAGTTAATATATTATTTTTTTAGCTTTACTTGAACAAATCGAAATCGGGCCGCCGATAATAATCCACGATCGTTTCAAATTGAAAGAAATGATTCATACGAACAAGCCGAAAGGATTGGCCAAAAGGGAGGGGGGAACGGCGACAGATACGGGCACGTCGCCAGCATGTATTCGTTTTTTTTCCATGGCCTGATAGCTTCTAGCCTTCTGATTCTAGGGTTAGCCACAAGGATTAAACTAACGGAAGCATGTGTCTCCAGTCCTGAGTACAAACAATACAAAACCCCCCACTAATTGTCTAAATCAATGCAGAGACAGAACGCCATATGATTGCGGATCCACAGCTATCCTGCGCACAAATAAAAGCAACCAGCCGGTTTCGTTAGTCGGCTGCTAGCTCACCAAGTAATCAGTTCGTGGATTCGGGCTACATACACGACGCCCTAATAAGCCCTAAAGAATCCTGTTACCAATCAGTATAGTATGCAGGTGTCGTTAGTGCTTAACAATACTTAGGTCATATATATAATCATCAAATGCCCACGATGCAGGATCAATTGGAGATGCAGTAGCAGCTAACGATAATTGGGCACGAGAGGGGTCCCAAATCCAAACGGCAAACCTGCTGCCGGCGCCCATGATGCGCTGTCCGCCTGTCCTCAACGGCCTCTGCTCGGTGCTCCGGTGCCCCCACGCGGCCGCGCCGTCGTCCCGTTCTGAATCCTATGGGCGGCGGGCTCCGTCGATGCAGCCGCGGGGCCCGGACCGGACGTCGCCTCTCCTGGTCGGTCGTTCGTTGGTTCGCGCGTCACGTCGGATTCGGATCAGAGCAGGGTGTATGTGATGTGCCTGCTGAGTTTTCACCTCAAAGTGTCACATCGAATCTTACGGTACGAAGTACTAAATGTAGACGAAAAACAAAACTTTCGAACCTAATTAATCTATAATTAGACACTAATTGTTAAATACAAACAAAAGTACTACAGTAGCCAAAAAAAAAAAAAAACGCCAACTAAACGCGCCCCGAATAAAATCCTAGAATCTCTCGCGTGGGGGCCCCACCCCATAGGGGTCGTTACCCTACCTCGATCGAATCCGGGACCAGGGCAAAGCTAGCTTTCCGGTGTGCTGCCGGCGGGTCCCACCGGGCAGCACCCCCCCCATGGCGCCCACCGCTTTCGCAGCTCCTAACCACAGTTAGCTCAACCTAACCCAAAGCTAAGCCCAAACCACAGGCTGGAGTTACCAAACTGCCCCCAACCAACCCTTATAAATAGCCTCTGCCCCGCTCGCCCCCAGTTTGCCTAAATGAAACCACCGGCAGACCAGAACAGCACTCACTCCCCGCGCCCAATTCGGAGCTCCAACCGTCCAATTCGCTCGCCTCGCCTGCCTACCTGCGATCTGTCATGGCGACTGCAGTGACCACCAGGAGGCCGAGCGGCCCGGTGCTCTCGGCCGCGCACTACCGTTCCGCCTCGTCCACGCGCATCTCGCTCGCCGGCGCTGGCGCCCGCGCGCGGCCGCCGGCCGGGCAGTCCGTCACCGTCAGCGTCTCGTCGTCGTCGCGGGGCCGGCGGACCTGCATGTGCTCGCCGACCAACCACCCCGGCTCGTTCCGCTGCAGCCTGCACAAGGAGCGCGTCAAGCCGGCGTCGGCGGCCGGCCCCCACGGCTCGCACGGGCATGGCAAGCCGAGCTCCCCGCCGTCGTCCGCGGCCTCCCCGACCACGAGCCGGCTGGGCGCGGGCGCGGGCAGGCGGATGGGCAGCGCGCTGTTGCGGATCGGCGCCGTGGAGGGCGGCGAGTGCGCGCGCCGCGCGCTCGCGGCCACCGCCCGCTCCTCCCCGCCGCGCAGCAGTCGCAGCACCGCCGCCGCGTCGGCGGCGCCCGGCCCCGCCCCAGCCGCCTCTCCGCCGTCTCCTTCGCCGGCGACCGCCCCGGCGACAACGGCCGCCACCAATAGACCTTCGCCGACATGCCATCGTAGAACTAGCACTAGTAACAGTATAGCACTAGTAGCAGTAGTCAAAATAGGAGAAAGGAATCCCTGGTGCTGTAACGCTGAGACTGAAAGAACAGAACAGTGGGAGCTTGGAGCGCTGGCAGTGGATCAGGACTAGTTTTGGGAGCCTGATCCATGGATCGATCTTCATCCAGGAAAAAGGCTTTCTTGTGTACATAGAATTCCAGCCGATGAGCTGCGAGTACCCGCTTTGGATTAGTTTCTTGAATGGATAAACATGACCGATGAATGGAGACAACTGGATTTTGCCCCAACTGTGGAGGCCGCTCATGATTCTGTCCGGATCAACCCCCCTGTCCTCCTCTGTTATCTCTCCGGTTGTTGTTGGGTCCGCGTCCGTCTGGATAAGCACGGGGGCTCGTCGTTGAGTACTTCAGTGCGGGTGGCGCCGGCCGTCGCGTCCGCCGTCATGCCGCTCTTGCCGTCACGCGGCCCCCGTGCCAGCCGGGTCGGCGGGCGGGCGGGCAGGGTGTGGAGGCTTCCATTCCGTGGGCTCGTAGGCTTGCCACGGGAATACGGTGGGCGGCAATTTGGCACAACAACGGCACGAGCACAGCTAGGCTAGCGTCGCTCACCTGCTCTCTCTCGTTCTTGTGCTGGTTTGTTGGTAGACAGAGCAACACCTTACTGTATTAGTTAAACAAACTCCGGTCCTGTTACTGTTGTTTCACCCGGAATCAGTTAACCACCGCGCACAATAACAATTACTGTACCGTTGAACTTTGGAGATGAGATGACATAGAAATCTCCGCTCTATCATCATCCATATGAATCGCTGCAAATCCTCAACGAAGAAAAACCAGGCAACTCACTCGTGCAGTACAGTACTACCGGGTCAGCAATACAACGCTACCACTGACAGTACAATTTTTTTTAAGAAAGAAAAAACACTACTCTAAACCAGGGGCCGGTGCGTTTTTTTTTACAACTTTTAATATAACATTAAAGCACAATACACCGGTGTGGAAAAATAATTCTCAGATTACAAAGCATAAGCAAAAAAAAAACTATTGCTGATCTGCATTCGTTCATGGGAGATGCTTTCGTCGGGGGCGTGGGGCCCGTCGGGGACAAATGGCCCACGAGAAGTGGCCACGATAAAAACCTCAAAGGTCCTTGTTCTCGCACTTTGATAGCACAATCGACGCTTTTCTCGACTGTCTGATCGGCCTGTGTCTTCAGGGATAAGTTGTCTTGGGCTGTAGACACGATAGGAACTTCACCGGGCTCAAGAAATTGGGTCCGCAGTCGTCAGTGTAAAATCTGAGGACCTGCAACAACTAACGTTGGCGGTCAACCTGAACACCCACAACTGCATTCCCACTTCTATGTCTGCAGAGTGACTGAACAGCAGATGTGTAAATAACACGAAAGAGCTCTGGGCTTGTTTGGCTGCACACAAATTCACCCCAATCCACACCTCAATCCCTCCCAAACCACGTGAATTGGGGTGGATTTGTGTGCACCCAACAAAACCTAAGGTGTAACACAGCAGCTTACTGCTGACTACTGCTGCTACCACAGTGTACTATGTGTATCCCCACTAATAAACTTAAAAAAAACGGCGCGGGATATCCAACGGCTGGACCGGATTACCCGAAGAATTCTTCTCCCGGAACGTCCGCGTCGCCCCATCCAGGCGCGCGAATTCAACGCTTGACCCGTCGGAACGGAGAACTAGTGTGGCAGCTGGATAACAACCTGCCCGGAGGGAGCCCCCATGCCCCCGTCCCGCTCTCCCAGCTTGGACCTGATCGCTGCGGGGACATGGACTCGGCACCTGCCGCCCGCCGGTTCATGACACGGGACCGAACAGAACACAGCAGTTATAACCGCTGCAGAAACGTACGTTAATGCTTGCCGGGCCTGGAGGGCAGACGAGCGGATCGGACCGACTCGTCCTCTGACTTGGGAGCAGAGCACTGAGCAGTGAGCACAAGGAGTCGTCGTTGCGGTAACAAAGTCTTCCCTCTAGACCAGGTCGCGGACTTACAAAGAACACGAGAAGTATTATCAGATTGACCTACGTATGTGTTAATACCACCCCTCTAGGCAGGGCAATGACGATCTTGGTCTAATCCTCCGGCTTCAAACGCACAAAACAGAAATGCTGCTGAGATCAAAGGAGTTCGACATTCGAGAACAATAATCGGTGCATGAACGTACAGCATCCGAAGAATTACTTGGTCCATCATTTTTATAAATGTGGGCCCTCTAGAGGTGGAAACATTTCCCTCTAGAGATCCGAAAAATTTTAGTAAAACGGAACGTACATAGTATGGGTTAACCTCTAGGCGGGGTAAACGAACGCCAAAAAAACAAATGATGTAGAGATTCAAACGGGTTCGAGAACAATGGGACCTGACGCACAGCATGTGAAAATTCAACACTAATCGTCACTGTTGCATTTAAAAGTTTACGAAAACCGCAACTTTCTATGTAAACTATAAAGGAATTACAAACTACATTTACCTATCCTTTAGGACCTTTATAGCTAGTCACACAAGATATGTATGAATCCATGCGAAATTGTGTGGCTAACACGTGGGTCAGTAAAGACGACTAGGTTAGCTAAAAGCATAAATAGTTGTAGGTTTATAAAACCGACCTCATAAGTCATTCTTTTATTTCATTTAGAAAACTACTTTTATCTAAGGTTTATTTCCTCTCATTTCTCCTTGCCCCATGCATATTTGATACTACATGATTTCAAGGAAAGAAGGTACTGTCAAAAGGAAGTCGCTGTTGCCCAACCGTTTCGAGTAGATAGAAGATTTTCTTGATATTTACATGTGGATATTGAATACTAATATTACTAATTAGAGGCTACCAACATAACATCCATGTTAATTATCCTGAGACACGCTACACAAAAAAGATTAATCCTAGATTTTGTCCCATTAACTAGAAAGAATTATCCTTTACTTTGGTAGATCGTCGTAGCTAATAATATCCACTAAACCTATTATGTTTATATTACCAATTGGAGATCTCTTATAGAGATCCATATTAATTCTCATAAAACACGTTAGAAAAAAAGATAAATACTAAAAACCAGAATAATCATAAACACTAGGCCTTTAGTTGGTAGACTATCATAATCATAGTCAATGGTTCCAAAAAACCCCCCGCTATGTCATTATTAAAAACACATAAAATAACCCCTAAATTTGATTTTTAAATTTCTCACCTTCACCATTGTAACAGATAATACAAAACAATCCTTTTAATTTGCATTGAAATTGCATGCATCTATCGTTATAAAATATATAAACTAAAATACCCCTCAGATTTGATTAAATACAGTGTAAACTATTATGAAAAATAAATCAATAATCATAAAGTGCACTACATTATAATTTTACAAAAAAAATCAATTCTTTAAAGAGAGAACTGTCAGTGTAGATAAAACGTCACCAACAATAGTGATAATGTGATATAGTATATTCTAAAGCACATGACACAGCTACTTCCTTGGCAATTTATTAGCTTGAGAGGAATTGTTGGACGACCATACGGAGTTGAACGAGGACGTTGCATTTGTTGCATTTCCAATCTCACGATCAGGAAGGTCCATGAATTTACTAACAAGTATTTTTCAACCTTTATCCCTGGTGCCGTGGTGCGGGACGTTGGATAGCAGACCTGTGAAAAAGATTTGAGGTAGACCCATTTAATGAACTAACTAACTCATTCCTATGATAACAAATATAAATCCATTTAGGCAATTAATTTTTTTAATTATTAAAGGAGATGCTTTGGTTATCATCAATATATAAATAAAATTCCATATAAATTGACATTTTGTTGTGAAAACTATCCTCATAAACATAGTCCCTCTGTCCCTAGAAAATTAATTCGTAGAGTTATTTTCAGTCAAACTTCTTAATAAGTTTGACCGAGTTTATAAAAAATACAAATATTTATGACACCAAATTATTATTATAATATACGTCATTCATAGCATGCTTATATGGTTTATAGATATTTGTGACGAAGTGTGGCAGAACCATCCGAAATAGCACGCTTCCGGAGATGCTCTGTCTTTCACTAGACGCTAAGCACCTCGAAAGTAAGCTACATTGGACGGTTCCGTCAAGCACACCCCAAGAGAAAACTCGAACAATCCACGTTTTTCATCCAGGATCCAATAATGAGAACGAATTTACAACACTTAGTCCATTTCATACAAGAATTCTCAGAAATACATTATTACAACACCAAGTTCTGAGTGAAGAATTTAAACAACGGAATTAAAATAAACATCTAACGATAAGATACAAGGATCCATCTGTGCCTACCAGAAGAATCCTCCACACAACAGCTACTCCTCAAGCTGCACCTGCAAGAGGGGTAAATAAACCCTGAGTACACAATGTACACGCAAGACTTACCCGACTAGTGGGAATAACTTTTCGACTCCAAAAGATATGATAAGCTTTATGATTTGGTGGGTTTTCTTTTTGCGAAAAACATTGCTAGTAGTGAATCCTCATGTTTGTTTTTATTAGCAGTCATGATTAGTTTATTAGCTAACCATTCTATGTAATCACCTGTTCTACTTTCAAGCAAGAGTTGAGCAATCAGATATATTTCATCATCTTTCATCTTCCAGTTCTTACTACGGTGCTAGATCATAGACAAGTCGTACAGCATCACACGGTGATTTGTGAACCAATGTATCCCAGCTGGGTACCCTAAAACACACGCCCCGCTTGTACCCCAGGCATAAACAAGAGCAACCCACCACTCTCCTGTCAAGGGGTCCAGGACCCCGTCCGAATTTGGACTACAAGCCCCCACTCCTGAGTCTCGGACTCAATGTGGTGCTTAGACCTCCACCATCCCCACCTCCAATCAGTCGGTTCGGAAAGAGCCAGAACACACGACAACATAGCAACGAGCATTCCCGCTCCCATAAGCAAGTATGTGCTCAGGATAATATGTCTGTGATCTGACTAAAATCCACTACAACGGATGGTCCTTAACCGACACAGGCGGAACAAGTGCAAATCCAAGCCTCGTTCGAATGCCTAACCAAGTCCAGATCCAAAGTACCATTTTGCCCGATCTCCAATTATCGTTCATATATATTTC